ACTCAAACAGTTTATGGACCCCATTGACCTCCATAGTAGGAAAAAAAAAAACATTATTTAAAATATCTTTTTTTGTGTTCAGCAGAAGAGAGAAACTCATAGAAGTCTAGAACAACTTGAGTAAATTATGACATAATTTTCATTTTTTGGGTGAACTGACCCTTTAATGTGAGAGTTCACCCAAAAATGTAAGTTCTCAATTCTATTTGTATTATTTATATACTATTATAGTACTTGTGAATATTTTGTATTAGCTTTTATGTTTATATGTTCAGGTTTCATTTTAATTGTAGTTTTAGTAGTTTATGTACTTTTGTCATTTTTATAATTTTTTTATGTTTGTATTTAGTTTTAGTTTTTTTTAGTAAGCTTAAGTCATTTTAGTACTTCCACTTAAACCTTATTGCTGTTCAAAGTTTTTTAAATGTATGTTTTTCATCAAATATTTATATTTAATTTAATAAAAAATTTATTTCAATTAATCAAAACGATTTTTAATACTTTTAGTTAATAATAACAGCACTGCATCATTTACTCACCTTCATGTTGTGACTTACTTTAGCTCTTTTCTATATACGTTTCTATAAATGGGCTGTCAAGCACTAAAAAGTGACACAAAAGACTATAAAAGTATAATATAAATATGATTTGTGTGGGTCAATATATGATTTGTCTATATTTTAAGTCAGGGTTTCCCAAACTAAGATTTGTGAGTTGATAAAAAAGCTAATAATGAATTAAATCATAAAAATGTCAAATTAAATATAAAATAAATATTTGATTTGATTAAATGCATGTCATGTGACCATTAACTGACATCAGAGATCCACGAATGTGCAAATGTGTTCAATTATTGGAAATATTTCGAATTAAAAAGGTATAACCATTTAGTTTAAAATGTTTTATCTCTTAAAAAATTATAAATAAATTTAAAAAGTGTATTTTGTTAGTCTTAATCCATTTGGAAAGACCGAATGCCACAGGAGGTGCATCTGACAAAAGAGTTTGTGAATCCCTGATGGAGGTCTTCTGCAGAAATGTGTTTCTTTAAGCGTGTGTGTTGTGTGTGTGTGTGTGTTCAGGTGGAGGGTTCTCTGTGGGATGCGCGAGGCTCGTAAGAATCACGGTCTGGTGGTGGTGAACTCAAGAATATACGCCGTCGGCGGCCAGAACACACTGGGTATGTTTTTGTGTTCATAAGTTTACTTTCCCTGCTAATATTTGTGTTATTTTAATTTCTGATCAGGCAAGCATTTATTGTGACTCAGACTTTGAGACGAAGTAACACACTGGTTTTTTTGTTCTACATTCACTGAATACATTTAACAAAATCATATTATGAAAGACTACTACAAGGTTGTTTGTACTGTAGTCAGGGCCGTAGCTAGAGGATTCGGGGCCCCCTGAAAAAATATTGATGTGGGCCCCCACCACCCTCCACCAATATCATATAGGCTACTGTACAATAGATGAACATGGAGGCACACATAACAGAAGATGGTGATGTTGTTGTAAAACCTTTATTTTAAAAGTTAAATGTTTATATAAAAATTACAACTAATAAAACTAACAAAAAGCAAGAAATTGTTAAATAATAATAAAACCAATTTTTAAAAAGTATTATTTTTTTCCCCATCAGTCTGTTATAATTCATAAATCAAAAAGTAAACATTTAGAAATTGACAAGAATGCAGTCTAATTAAAAAAATAAAACCATTCATTGTCTTATTTTTTAATAAAGATAATATGGAACTGGTAATATTATTAAATAAAGCGAATACATTTATTCATCCAAGTGCAGTGTGTTGTATTCGTGTTTTCTCTATGTTTTAAATATCATCAGCCGGCAGGTCAGATGCATAATGCAATGCGTCGTGACTCGTGTAATTTTTTTTTAAAACTCTATTTTCAATAGTGTAAAAAGACAGGAATTTAGACCACGTAATCATTCGGTCGATTGTGGTGCGCAACGATAATAAAAAATGACTGTACACGACAGACTTTAGACGGAAGTTTTCTAATTCCCAGCGAAATAACAATATATAACCGGTCTTTAAGAACGTCTTGATCGACTGGGATACAACCACTCTCCTTGCCTCCCTCTCCGTCTTTTCCTGGCATTTCTGGTTCCCTGATTTATGTTTCCTTTTCCCCGACATTTTTCAGTCAGTCAGTCAGTCTCCTGCTCTTCCACCAAGTTCATCGTTAACTTCAGGTTCTGCCGCCTCAACTCTGATTGGTTCTGTTCACGAGCTGGGGTGGGACTTACAATTTTATTGGGTCCATCTGATGTTTGTCACTGACTCTGACTGAATAATTAATAAATACTTTAGGTCGGACTTAACCATTTTTATGGAGGTAAGAGAAGCAGATATTTGGAAAAATATTTACCCAAATTGCACGTTTTTGCAGTTCTCATTTAAATCTCAGGCATACAACTAATATAAATATTAGAATTATTCATACTACAGGGGCCTAAATAGTATAACTGCTGGATTTTGTGGGGCCCCCTGGGCAGCGGGGGCCCCTATAATTGTCACCACCTTTCACCCCACTAGCGACGGCCCTGACTGTAGCAGTGATAGGGTGCTTCTCAATTCATATTTGCGCATCCTCGCGTCTCAGCTCCACCCCTTAAAGGGTTAGTTCACCCAAAAATGAAAATGATGTCATTAATGACTCTCACTCATGTCGGTCCAAGCCCGTAAGACCTCCGTTCATCTTTAGAACACAGTTTAAGATATTTTAGATTTAGTCCGAGAGCTTTCTGTCCCTCCATTGTAAATGTATGTACGGTATACTGTCCTTGTCCAGAAAGAAAATAAAGACATCATCAAAGTAGTCCATGTGACATCAGTGGGTTAGTTAGAATGTGTTGAAGCATCGAAAATACATTTTGGTCCAAAAATAACAAAAACTAGGCCTTTATTCAGCATTGTATTGTCTTCCGGTTCTGTTGTGGATCCGCGTTCACGAGTCCGCAGTGACGCTGCTGACGTGTGGTTTTCACTTTGCTGTTGTCATGATGTTTAGCACACGTCTCTGTTTTACGGCTGTCTTCAGTGTATAGACAATTATGGATGATTACTAGATGCAAGAAAGACCAAATAGGAATTCAGTATGCAAATATTACAATGACATTATCATTTTACATTTGATTTACAATTTACATGGATTCATCTAGCAATGCTTTGGACACTTCCGATGTTGAAATACAAAAATAAACGTTTAAAGTTCATACACTACACGGTTGAGTACATAGTGCATAAGTGCATAGTGTACAGTGCGTCAATTGGGACACAGCTGATCATAGGTCACTGAAGGTCAGAGGTCATGTAAGGTGTGTTTCCCTCTCTCAGGCGGTCTGGACTCGGTGGAGTACTACGAGATGGGCAGCAACGAGTGGAAGATGGCGTCTCCGATGCCGTGGAGGGGTGTGACGGTGAAGTGTGCGGCCGTGGGTTCAGTGATCTACGTTCTGGCCGGGTTTCAGGGGGTCGGTCGTCTGGGTCACATCATGGAGTATTACACTGAGACGGACAAGTGGGTCGTGTCCAGTAAAGTGCGCGCCTTCCCTGTCACCAGCTGCCTGATCTGTCTAGTGGACACGTGCGGCGCCAACGAGGAGGACATGAACTCAGCGTCTTCATCCTCATCCTCGGCCGATGGACGGATGTGATGATTCAGTCGTTACTGTGCCGAGTTATTAGCTGCGTTACATATTCAACTGATTATAGTTTGTGTTTTTAGTGCAGATACTGAGAAGAGTTTGTGTCGCGAAAAATCAAACCAATCAGGTTTGAACGTTTATTGTTGAGAGATAAGACTGCTTTTGTCTTTACGCTCAGATTATTATGATCTTTTGAGCTGTAACTTCCATCTTCCAGGAAGGCTGATGTTCCCTGATCTCGGATCAGATTTCCACGTCGCAGAAGAACTTCCATTTTTAGGAAACAGTTGTACCTTCTGCATTTTGGCGACTAATATGTGTTTTATGTTGGTTTTATGTTTTAAGAATTGGTATTTTGATGTGTTTATATTATGTGTGAACAAACTCGTGACTTTTATTTTTTTAATAATGCTCGTTTTATCATTTTGATGTGGTTGAACTACAAGAAAACAAGCTGGAACGTTTGAATGAAAAGTTTTTGTAAGAGAGAATCTAAATAAAATGATCTGTTACTCACTGATAATATTTGTGTTTAATTTCGTTTTCCTCTATAATATCAATACATACAAGCTTTCTGACCTTTTATTGCTTGTTTACTACGTCGTTTAGTGTTATTACTTTTGCCTGCAATAAAATCGTATTTTTGAAGACTTCAAATGAAGAAATACGTTAATTCAGTTTTCACTGGCAGTATCATGGAACAATATATTATTATTATTATTTATTTTATTTCAGACACGTAAATAATGGTCCATATTACAGACAAAAAGAGACACATAAAAGCAATACATTTATCACCTGTAGGCTCGTGAGTAGTATAGATAATACCCGATATTAATATTATATATTGTACACATTTTAAAATAGACCACAGTAATATTTTATTCCCATAGTCATATACCATGTTGCTGTAAGAATATCAAAAGAAAAAAGTTTTAGTATCTTTTATTTGAGAGCAGATGTGCTTCAGCTTTAAAATTGAGTGAACACGTGAAGTCAAGAATTTATACAAATAAAATGTTTTACTTACTATCTTCATTTATCTTAGTCCAATTAAAAATCGTAATTTAGATGTACTTTATAATGTTTGCGAGGTATTGCGGAGAGGATTTGGAAGTTTGATCCAACTAATGTTTTTCTGCTCGTGCTTTGCATACTAATGCTAATGACGTAAGGTGACGTTCGTCCTGTAGTCCTACCTGATTGGCCGAAAGGTGGGTGACGGCATACCTTATGAATATTAATTAGGTCACCTGAATGGACGCTTTCAAAAATTACCAAGCAACGCTAGAATTACTAATTAATATTCATGAGCTAAGGATTGTTTGGTCATTCGGATCAGATTCAGAGTCATAGCTGCGGGCTTCACATCTTTCAGAAATAGTTAGCCGGGTCAGGCCGAAACTTTATCCCGCCTTATGTTCATAATGAGGCGTGTTCTGTAACAGATGATGAACTACATCAACACTTTCGCTTTATTCTTTCACGACCATTGATTGACACACTTTCTGAGTGGAAGTCGCAGCGGACACACTGAAGGTTTGTTTAATCTTTATTGAATCTTTAATGAATATTTTGTTGCTCCTGCTGCGTTACTTTGAATCTTCGTACACACCACCAGTCATATAACTTATACATGCATCACATGCAACATTTATTGTAGCACGACAGATTAAAGTTCGGTGTTTTTTCTTCAGTTTCGCTCGTGAACGAGAGCAGATGTGAAGTAGTGCATGAAATCTCACAGATTGATCTCAAAGAAAACCAGCTGCTACTAGTAGGAACAGAATATGTAGATTAATTTATGATTTTGTGTATTAATTTTTTTTTTACTGTGTTAGTTGGATGTATATCCAATATCAGTTTTAAGATTTTAGGTCACACACACACACACACACACACACACACACACACACACACACACACACACACACGTATACAGTATATGATTTATGAAGGATCATGTGACACTGAAGACTGGAGTAATGAGTCTGGAAATTCAGCTTTGATTACAGGAATAAATTACATTTGACTAAATATTCACTTAGAAAACAGCTACTTTAAATTGTACTAATATTTGACAGTTTTTACTGTATTTTTCATAAAAATAAATACAGCCTAGGTGAGAAGAAGCGACTTCTTTTAGAAAACAACAACTTGGTAACACTTAATAATAAGGTTTTGTTTGTAACATGAACTTACCATGTTTTTTTGTATTTGTTAATCTTTATTAACATTAGTTCATAAAATACAAATTTTCACATTAGTTCACAGAGCATTAACTAATGTTAACAAATACAACTTTTGATTTTGATAATGTATTAGTAAATGTTGAAATTAACAAAGATTAATAAATGCTGTAGAAGTTCAGTTCATTATTAGTTCACGTAAACTAATGAAACCTGTTACCAAAAACTTTCAATTATGCAAAATTACTTGATAATTAATCACTAATTACTTAAAAAAAATTTACCTGTAGTGTATATATTACGCATGTCATGATTTTTTAATTCATAAAAAGGGGGGTCATATATAATAGATAGGTTATAGCGTTGTTGTTTGAAGAAGGTTTAGATGAAGTTTAGCTGCACAGAAGGAGGTATGTGTTCAGGAATGACAAACCTCACTTTTCTTGGTTTTTCCCAACTGGTCTGACGTCTCTGTCAAACTCCAGCGGTATGAATGCTGTCTCTGTCACTGTGACCCAGGGATCATGAAGACCCGGGTCTGTGTTGCATTGCCTCAGAGTGACTAAAGCATCTATTGTGTATTTACATTAACAGTCGTACAGTAGATGCTTCAGTCGGTAGTAGAGCTGTAGCAAATGCCTTAGTTTCATATTCAGTTCTAGTCCTAGTTTGAACTTGATCCAGATTCGGATTAGAAGCAGATGTTGACACTGGGAGGGATCCATTGCATGAGTGGAAAAACAGCAGGGCACGCGAGGACAACCAGACTATGTTTTATAATTAAAGTTTTAATGTTAAAACATTCTCTTATTACCAACCAGTGGAGAAGATCTAGTTGAATCTCCTGTTTCACTCTTAAATATGGAGATAAAACTCAGTTTTTTCTTTTGTTTTTGCAGAGAATGTCAGATTTTACTTCTAAAATTTGTGAACGATAACATGCAAATCACTCTCTTCATCCATTAACTCAGATAAGGCTCAGATGTTTTGAATTTGTAAAACATCAGCCATGTGCGGACATTATTATACGTCTTGCATTTAATCATAGTGATGGTTTATGGCTGAAATTCTGCACCACATAATGAGCAAACCTCTATTTTGATCTGCGTGAATCCTTAAATATAGTTGCTGGCTGCTGTCTCTGTGTTTTCTTCCTGTCTGAGGTGAAAAGAATCCCCTACAAGTCTCTGTGATATTTTAGTCTCTTCATATCTCATCACTAGCCATAAGCAATAGTAATAGAGATGCTTGCCTCAGTCAGGGATGCTAAAAATGCCTTGTGAAGCATCAACTGAATTCATTGTAACCACTTGAACAGACCGAGAGTTGAAGAAGTTGACGGACCGCCATGGACCGGACGACTGAAGAGTGACTGCACTGCATGCGCGCACAGAACCGGTTCTGATGGCGGATAAAAACCCGTCTGGTCTACTGGAGGCGTGTGTGGTGGCTGGAGTATCAAACGAACGTCTGAAGGAGTTATGCCTGGTGGTGAGACATCAACAAATCTTCATATTCACATTTATTCTGTGCAGAATGTTGAGGAAAAAACAACGAAAATCTGTATTAATAATTATGATTACAAATTATGATGTTTTGTAAAATGTTATATAATATGGATGTGTGTGTGTGTATAATTATTAAAGTCCCATGCAAAATATTTCCAAATTCTTTTATAAGTTTCCAAAATTCATTTGTCGTGCTTGCTATATATAATCTTGATGGAATAATACATAAAAAATACAAATAAAATGTGATTTCATTGTTAACATGAATAATATGTATAATACATATTCTATCATTTATATAGGCTAGTATATAAATATTTTCTTTCTTTTTAAAATATGCAATTTTTAAAATATATTATTCATAATAATTCAAAAAATGTAAAAAGTTATGTATGTGTGTATGAATACATGAACACATATGCATTCAATTTCAATAATTAAAAATAAAATAAAATTATATTTTATTAATAATAATCAATAAAAATAATAATAAAACAACATTTTGTTATATATATATATATTATTGATATACTATACATATATTATTACTATACTATCCTATATAAATGATAAAATACATATTATTGATTTTAACAATGAAATCACGTTTTATGTTTGTTCTTGATGTCTTTTTCCGTTTTATGATGATGTGCAGAATGTTAGTTGAGTGGATGTTGTGTGTCTGCAGGGTAAAGATGTGCTGGTGGAGGCTGAGGTGCTGCAGGTTCACGCTCCACCGTTTGTGACGAAGGACAGTTCCAGTAACGGTGTTTATCAGGATCACGCTCCGGCCTTCAGCAGAGCCCAGCGGAGACGCTCCTTTAAGAAGAGGGACCGACCCGTTTCAACCATCAGCGAATCCGGCAACCTCAGCGAATCAGCAGTGGCCGTCTCAGACGATCTCAGCGTACCGCAAAACGTCGACCTCATAGCCCTGCAGCAGCTCTGCTTCCCAGGTAACCTTCGCAAACGCCTCCGCGTGGGATTCTGTGTCTAACGGAGATGCTAACTGAGTCTGTCATTGTTCAGATGGTTTGAGAATAACCAATGAGTGCGGAGAAGACTCCTATCATTTCCTGGTGTTCACGGATGTGTTCGGGACCCAGACACATGGGGTTGTGGCTCAGTTCTGCAAACCTATTCAGGTGAGGAGGTATCATAAACATACTCTTATGGATAGCTAGCATATCAAAGCTGGCTAAATAGTTCATAAACAACAAACATGAAAGAGGTTTCAATTCTTCAAATATATTCTGAACTTCCTGTGAAGTTCTGAGAGTGCAAGATTGACTGTGATGTAATGTTTTTTGCTCAACAAAGCTGCATTTATTTGATCAAAAAGTACAGTAAAAACAGTAAAATATGATTACAGTTTAAAATATTTGTTTTCTATGTTAATATTTGGAAAATTGTATTTGTTCCTGTGATCAAAGCTGTATTTTCAGCATCATTACTCCAGTCTTCAGTGTCACATGATCCTTCAGAAATCACTCTAATATGATGATTTGATGATCAAGAAACTTTTCTGATTATTATCAGTGTTGAAAATACTTCATTTTTTCGAAACCATGATTCATTTATTTCAGGCTTATTCGATGAATAGAAGAAATAATTTCTTAAATAAGAAAAATAAAAAAACCTTTAGGTTTCACACACACACACACACACACACACACACACACACACACACACACACACACACACACACACACACACACACACACACACACACACAGTTGTATATAAGCTGTTCATATACAGTATATGATTTCTTAAACCTTTGAATGTTAGTGTACACAAATAAAATTACATACTGTAATATAATGAAAAATGTGTATTATTTATAAGAATTATTAAATTCCTATGTAAAAAGTTTCCAAAATGCAGTCGCTAATTCCTTTGTCATGTTTGTCGTGTTATTGTAGTTCCAACAGGATAATATGATGCATAAAAACGGCTATCAGTCGACCAAACTGCAGCGTCTGTACACCACATACAGCATATGTGTCATCTCCAAATATCCATATTATAATGCCCTCAGAGACTGTCTGTCCTGGTAAGACCCTAATCCATATGATTATTTAGCTGGAATATGGATTGAAGTATAAGCTGTAAGCATTTCATCTCTCCGCCGTCATAGTTTCTTGCTCCAGCTGAAGACCTCCCGCATGACCGAGTTTGAAGAGCAGGTGAAGGAGTTTTCCGCCAAACTGGCACTGGTTCCCATCCCGCCTCCCGGACCCCTGCATGTGGTCAGCCTCTTTATTAACTCTTTATTCCCTGACCAGGACGTCCTATAAATGTAGTTATATTTCACCTACTGTACTTTAATGTTGGGTTTTGTGGATGTTTCTGCAGGTGTTTAATCTCAGACCCCTTCAGATTGAACTTCCCTCCAGACTGGATGTGGATCGGCCCGTCTTGGACCTCGATCTTCACCTGCCGTTTCTGTGTTTCAAACCCAAGCAGATCCTGCAGGTCAGTCGGTTATTATCGTTAAATAAAACTATTAAATACATTTTTTGTTAATTAAAATAAAGCTGAATATAAATGCTATCTGGAAACTGACTTAAAGTCCCCCTGCGGTGAAAATCCAGCTTTTAATGTTGTTTATATGTCTATATGGTGTTTTTAATATGCTTTAAGACAAATCATGTGTAAGTTCATAAGTCGACAGCATTGCTGAGTATTTTCTGCTTAAAACTGCAGTGAACCAAAGACAGTCTCAAAAACTCGAAATCGCTGGTGTTTCTGACGTCACAAACGACCTCGTGACCAATCAGATCAACGTGTGATCGTCAACCAGTGGATCTCTGAGCTGAGTGAGTGAGTGGAGGCGGGGCTCATTTGCATATTCATAGAACCGCGCATACTAAATGAGGCAAGGGTGTCGAGTTACATTCAAGCTGTTTTAAGGCATGACGAATTTTTTTTCAAGGAAAAAACGTTTAAATGTCATTTTGGTGATCAAAGATGAGTTTTAAGGGATACAATTGTTGACGACAGGGGGACTTTAAACTAAATGAAAATTAGAAATGTTGCGTGGGCAAAAAACTAAAAACAAAACGGAAATTAGTTTAGGTTGAAGCACACAAATTACTAACTGGAAATCAATAACTATAACTAAACTAAAACTGAAATAAAAACAAATTAAACCGAAATACTAATATTTTAAGCACCAAAATATTAATGAATAAACTAAAATTACTAAAAATATAAAGCTAATTTGATATACTAATAAAAACTATAAAAGTATTTAAATAATACTAACATAACACTGGGACTTTGCCCAAGTCATTTTTGAAGCACCAAACCAGTATAAACCGGTTTAACCCGAGTCAGAATGTGAACTTGCGCTGGTCATTTCTCATATGTTTACCTCTGGATGGCTTTGTTCCTCCAGATCATCAGCTGTATCCTGATGGAGCAGAGGCTGGTGTTCCTGTCCACCGACTGGGCCAAACTCACGCTCGTCGCCGAATGCTTCATGATCTTCATCCACCCGCTGCGCTGGCAGCATCCGTTCGTACCCGTCCTGTCCTCCCAAATGCTGGACTTCATCATGGCTCCCACGGCCTACCTGATGGGCTGCCACACACACCACTTCCAGGAGGTCGCAGAGGTGCACACCGCTTCACATCCCACTTGGTTTAATTGCATGACTGCACACATTTGTAAATGATTTGCATGACTTTTTCTGTTGTTCATGATTGACTGGATAAGGATTAAGAATAAGGGATAATAAAATATAAAAAATATATACATATTTATTGTTAAGGAGATCTAACCAATCAGCGAAGAACTTATTGGTGACGCTGAGAGGACGTTAGGTGGCGAGTTAGAAACTTCCCGAACAGTTAGCAAGTGGAGAACGCGCATCATATCTTCCTGTATCTTAACCTTCAGTGTTTATCTTCTGTGTGTGCGTTCATGATAAAATACCACACACACACACACACATACATATACACACTAATACCAAGTAAAGATGAGAATCCTGTGATGTGTTTTGATCGAGCACAATCACCTAATCAGCACATTAGCCAAAACTCCTCTACATTTATATAAAGTGATGTCCGGCCTGGGGAAATTGACGACATCACCCTTTATTGAAGTATTATTATATTTTATATAATTAGATATTTATATAAAGCTTTTTAATCCTTGTTTTGTCTCATTTTAAGTCATCTTCAGACCCCATTGGACGTTTGCAGAGCCACTGATCTAGTGCCATTATTGACATCTGGCTCATTTCTCAGTTGATGACAGAACCCTGTGTCTTTTTACAGGAGATTGATGATCTGGTTCTTATAGACATTGACCAAGGAACAGTGTCGTCTTCGGGTTCAGACAGACTTAATCTCCCAGATGTGCCACTGGCAGCCAGAGATTGTTTTATATACCGGTAAGAGACTCTTTATTTCTCTTTCACTTTTCATATCATGTTGTTCAGAACTTTGGGGTCAGTAAGGCTGCATTTATTTGATCATAAAATACAGTAAAAACTGTAATATTGTGAAATATTATTACAATTTAAAAGTGTAATTTATTCCTGTGATCAAAGCTGAATTTTCAGCATCATTACTCCAGTCTTCAGTGTCACATGATCCTTCAGAAATCACTCTAATATGATGATTTGATGATCAAGACACATTTATGATTATTATCAATGTTGAAAATAGTTGTGCTGCTTCATATTTTTGTGGAAACTATGATACATTTGATGAATAGAAAGTTCAAAAGAACAGCATTTATTTGAAATATTATCGTTTCAGGGCCTGAATTTCGTTTTGGAAAATGGGGGGGGAAATCCCCCTTTAGATGATTCTCATGGGGGGGATTTTTTTTGTTTGAGGGGGAGAAAGGGAAAAGCATTTTTTTTCAAACAAAATTATTACATTTATCTTGCCTAAATGTTTGCGCTCATTGCATTTTTACAATGGGGTAATATTGTTGTTAAGAATTTACACATCACAAGGAAGCTTGATTTAAATTGTTTAATTAAATTGAAAAAAAGTAGCACAAAAAAATACAATAGAATAAAGATACAAATAAAGACAATTAAAGAGAAAAGTTTTTCAATGGGTCTAACACTAGTATTCATTAACAGAAACTGAATAAAGTAATCAAATGGAAAATAACACTGGGTAGTATTTTAGTCCTGAATAAATTAAATACATAGGCTATTAATCCTGATTCCTTTTTAACTTAAAGCTATCTTTTGTTGTTTTAACAAAATTAATGACACACACACATATGGCTTCCGTCACTTTAAGAGCTAGTGCACGGATCCTGTGTTCATTATACTGGCATGCGTTTTATGCGTATTAAAGACAAAACCGACTATGTTTAGAGTATACTCACAAAGACCGAAATTAACAATTTTGCGTGTTAAAGCAATATAATCCGCGAAAAATAGTTACTGGCCAGCTGTTTTTGAGGCGGATTTTCTATGAATGTGCGCATAGAAAATAATCTCAGAGAGCGCGCGAGCACTGATTAGTTTAAAATCGCTTGAATGTTTAAACTGGTAAGACTTAAAAAGACTTCAGTCACGATGCACTGCTGGCCCGATTGTGCAAGTGAATATTCCGTCATGTCCCGACCTTACAGTCTATGGTCCCGAGTCCCGACTCCCAAACGCGAGTGTGTATTATCGCCGCAGCGCTTGATGCTTGCCTTGCAAAACACATTATGAGAGAAGAGATAGAAGACTGCGCGCGGCACCGCTGAACACTCACGCTGTTTGTAAAATTGCGTCTGGAAGATAGTTGTTAAAAGAATGATTTGATTTTATTATCTGTGTGGATTACGATTGCGGGAATTTCCCGCATTATAAATGGGAGATTTGCGGGAATGATTAGAATTATGCGCAATACCCGCAATCCCGCGCCGAAATTCGAGCCCTGCGTTTGTAACATTATAAATGTCTTTACTGTCACTAGATCAATTTTAATGCTTGCTTGATGAATAAAAGTTAATTTCTTCTTTCTTACTTACTGAAACTTTTGTGTACAGTATACCCAGCAGTTTTCCTCTTTGACATGCCGATATTTAATAGATACACTAGAGGCATCAATCAGAATTAGAAGAAATTGTATCATTGAAAACATAGCACACTTCATCTACGTCTTTGTATTCCAACACAACATGGCATCCCTCATTTTTTAGTTTGAGGTGATTACCGGATTTTAGGCTCACTGTTGAACATGATCCTGCTGTGTACAAAGCATCAAACTCAAAGGAGCCCAGAGACACAATTAAGTTAATTGCTTGTAATGAACATAATTGTGCCAAATAAACAGTGTCCTCCAAAACATCAGCTGCAGGGTTCAGATCGCGTGCGGTTCCTTCAGTTTAAGGGTGTTGTGTGAATGTGAGCGCTGTGTTTTGTGTGTTTCTGCAGAGCCAGTGCGCTTCAGCTTCACTATGATCTGGATCTGTGTCACGCCGGCAGCCGAACGGACATCCACGAGCTGCGCGCTCACAGGAGACGGTGGCAACACACAGTCAACAGCGTCATCCTGAACGTCAGCATGGAGCTCATCGTCAACATCTTCAGGTCTGGAGCGCAGCACTTCTGAAGAGCTCATGGCGGATGATTTTACTTTACTTTACTTTATACTTTATTAGTCCCATTACTGGGAAATTTGTCTAGGACAACATGCAAAGTCCGAACATACAAACTCATGTCAAACAACATACATTAAAAGCGAATAGAAACAACAGTCGATACATACAATATCACTTACATTACATTTCTCCGTTTTTCTGCACCAAAGTCTTAATTGTGTTCAAATAAGTTTAAGTTGAAATTCTAAAATTACTAAAACTGAAATAAAAATAAATATTTAGAGTAATAAAAATGGCAAAAGCACATGCCAAAATTACTAAAACGGACAATATAAAATTAAAAGCTAATTCAAAATATTAATAAATACTATAATAGTATATAAATACTAAAACTGATGCAACATACAATAAATGCTTCTGCATGTAAATGTTTTTCTTCTAAAAAACCACAACTTTCGTTGGAGGAAGATGGCGGAGTACTTTCTCTTAATTAATTACACAAAAATACAGTAAGGTTCTTAAACTCTTGTTCTAGAAAATGAAGAACAAAGAAATGTGCATCGGATGTACTTTGTTTTTTTTATGTTTTTAATTAATTTATGAAGCCACTGCCAACTTTATCGTTACATGTTGCACTGTTATAGTATAATGCCATCATATTCTGTGCAGGAAATTCGCTTAACTGAGCTGTAAATAAGAAAACCTTGACAATATCACTGCATAATATTTAAGTATTGTGGTATTCCGCCATGTTTCTCAGTGACACGCCCACAACTCGGAAAGATCGGGGCTTAGAGAAAATCCCGAACTCCCCACTGGTATTTACGACATTGTGGTGGCGTTCAAGTGCGTTCAACTCGTAAATACGATCTATACGAGATGACTTGAACGCACCAAAAGGCTACTTTTAAACCTTAGATATGTAAATGATCTCAGTTATGATTGGCTAAGCTCTCCTCATTACAGAATCTTGTAATTTACTCTGGATCAAAAGTTCTGAAAGTTAAAAACACACGTTATAAAGGTTTTATTGTCTAACAGAAGCATCCTGCAGTGTGTCCTGCCTATATCTGAGCACAGTGATGTTGTGTTACGCTCTGTGGTTGATCTGAAATACATCTCTTTTCTCTGCTTTCTCTAGTGAAGTGTGTGAATTCCTGAACTATGAGCACCGTGTTTTCAACAGCGAGGAGTTCCTCCGGTCCAGAGAGACCACAGATCACACGTTTTACAAAAGGGTAAGTAAGTAAATGCTCTCATTCAGCTCTACACTCAGCTCATGCTTCTGTACCAAACTCACTCATGTGTGTGTGTGTTTGTAGGTTTTAGACACTCATATATTCCACTCATTTCTGCGGGACCGTTTGAACAGGAAGAATGACGCATTTACTCGCATGCAGTTGAACATCCGTACAGAGACTCGGAGGTAAATGGATTCTTTCCATCTCCCTCTCTCTCTCTGTGTCCTGTTTCCATTCATTTATATTCTGCATTATTCTTCATATGTATTACTTGTTCGGCGTGCCTTCAATTACAATGTCAATGCATATAGTGTGTTTACAGTAAATAACAATCAGGAAAGCTTTTAAAAAGCAATATGCAATTTGGTTAAATTACTTGCATGAATTGCTCAAACATCATTTTTTTTGGATATTTAAAATGTTAAAAGATGTAGACAGCTCAATGTAAACTTTGCTTATAAATGGTCGCTTCTCTTTCAGCGATCCCTCAAAAGACATCATGGAAAAGTCACTGTTTACTTTTTGGCTGGTCATGCATTAGGGATGTCAAAAGTACTTTGGTATCAAGTTGATGAAAAGTAATATGGATTGTGACTACGTAATTTCAGATTAAAGGGTTAGTTCACCCAAAAATGAAAATGATGTCATTAATGACTCTCCCTCATGTCGTCCCAAGCCCGTCAGACCTCCGTTCATCTTCAGAACACAGTTTAAGATATTTTAGATTTAGTCCGAGAGCTTTCTGTCCCTCCATTGTAAATGTATGTACGGTATACTGTCCTTGTCCAGAAAGGAAATAAAGACATCATCAAAGTAGTCCATGTGACATCAGTGGGTTAGTTAGTTGAAGCATCGAAAATACATTTTGCTCCAAAAATTGGATCGACAACTGAACCGGAAGACAATACAATGCTGAATAAAGTCGTAGTTTTTGTTATTTTTGGACCAAAATGAATTTGGTTAATGAAACATGGATTAAAATTAAGATACAATTAATACAAAACGAAATTCGCTTTAACGAAAGGCTTTGTGCTTCTGTTTGAGGTCTCTGAAAGCAGCACTAAAAGACTTTCAAACTTTCACAGAGAGGTCGCGTCCGTAATGGAGAACTGTCACGTAACATTGTTGGCGCCCCATAATAGCAGCATGTTGAAATTATGTGCCAAAATGCGGTTTCTATTAGGCTACAATGAAAATATTGTACAGTAGCCTATCAGATAAGGTCAGGTTTGCCAAAGTGCATTTAATTTAGGCTATTTATTTATTTTTGTCCCTGCGCGCCGATCGGAGACACTGCTGATATTCTGAGAGCTTTCTAGTCTCGCGGCTGTCATCAGCAGCGCCTTGTATCGCCCAATCAGCGGATGGCGGGCGGGTGCGGTTTTGAAAATTGGTCAAAAACATTGGTGCGGATGGATGGCGGACGGATGATGAGTTTTGTGATGCGGTTGCGGATGAAATAATAGCCCATCCGCGCATCTCTAATGCTCATGAACGTTTGGTTTCTGAGACCCATGGTGCGTTCACGTGCTATGGAAAATATGATATTTTCCACTTGTGAACTGGTATTTACCAGTGTGTTGTGTTCAAGTGCTTTTGTTGTCGTAATGTGGTAAAAAGATGGAGATCCAGACCTGTTATTTAGCTAAAACTACAGCAAGAAAAATGATTTTTCGAAACTCAAACGGTAAATAATATGCTGTATATTTTCTAGATCATGAATAGTAAATTTTTTACCATTCACGACTCTCGCGTTGCTCTCCGCCATTTTGAAAAGGTCAAAGGTTATCTCATCTCGGCAACTCTTGCATCAAAATATTCTACGAGCTGCCCAGTGGAAAATACCACATGTGGGGGTGTTCATGTGCATTTTCCACATCGGCTTTTGGTATTTACCATAATTACCATAGCACGTGAACGCACCATCAGTCGGCCAATCCACAACGGACTGAGCCATCTAGCCAATCAGAGCAGAGCAGGCTCTCGGAAAGACTGAACCATTTATCAAACTGTTTCAGATGCTGTGAGAAAACAGCATGTTGTGTATACTCTGAGAAAATTAAATGTTTTTGACCTTGGATGCATGTAAGCCTATTGTGAGAGACATCCGAAACAAAAGTGAGAGCCTTTAAAATATCACAATAGTGGCACTTTAGGGCTCATTGCTGAGCAGAAACACTGGGCTCAAACATGCATCAAACAAATACAGGAAACAACTAAACGTCAAAGGGGATAAAAATAGGCATTCTCAAGTAATGATGATGAAACATGAATCTGTCTCAATGTGATTCTTTTACTGAAAGAAGGGGAAGTTAAAGACTGTATTTACAGTAAAACAACAGCAAACCCACATGCCAGTCAGTGCACACCAGAGAAAGCACTGCGCTCAGTTCACATGTGAAGAGGTTTAAAGGCACAGCGGTCTAAAATGTCCAGTTCAGAGAGTGTAACATGGACATAAAAAATAAAGATTTTTTAGTATGTACTGAATCTTTGGCATGATAACAAGAAAATAATTTTGGCTAGTCTCTTCCTGGTAAGAGGAAGAGTAACCGGGTTTAGTTTTTTTAGCTGGTCATGGTGTTTGAATGCATGTAACTTGACAGGTTTGGTAAGTTATTTTGGTCAGTGTTTTAAATTGTGAAACAGTGAGTCATTAATTTTCATGGTGCTGTGCTTCTGTTAGTGTATAAACATGTTTCCCATTCATTTCTACATGTTGAAATGATTATCAGTGAAGCAGTAGCAGACATTAGGTTAAAAAAAAAAACAGAATGTTTCTTTAAGGTTCAGTTTAGGTGATGAAAATCTAAATTTAAAATACATTTTCTTTCTGATCTCTCCATGATGGCGTGTCTTTTCCTCAGGTTGAGGACCATGACGGAGTCTCCACGCAGACCCACGATGGAGGAGGTCAACCGCAAGACCTTCAGACTAGAGAACGGCCTGAACAACAGGCTGGGGAAGAGTATGCCAAACCTGGCGGACTACCGATTGCTCACCGCCCCGGTCCGACAGATATCAGTCGGGACGATGCCTTTACAGAGCGGTGAGAACAGATTATTCTGAAAATCACAAATAAATTAGAAACATGTTTAACCAGGGACCCCTGATGAGGTTTGAGGAATGCATGTGTTGATGTAAAATTGCATATGTCCTGAGCATTTGATGTCATTAATATTTTTGGTTCATTTTCCTAGAAGAGAAATTGGTAATAAGGTTCATTAGGTTATTGTATTAACTAACAATGAGCAATACATTTGTTACAGTATTTATTAATCTTTGTTTAATATTAGTTAATAAAAATCCAGCTGTTTATTGTTTGTTCATGTCAGTGCAACTAATGTTAACAAATACAACCTTTGATTTTAATAACGTATTAGTAAATGTTGAAATTAAAATTAACTAAGATTAAGTGCAGTTCATTATTAGTTCATGTTAACTAATGAACCTTATTGTAAAGTGTTACCGAGAAATGTGTTTATTTGCTATATGCTTACTTTGCAAATTTTTGAAAGTAATTTAGATTTTTTGTAATCTATAAAACATGGAAAAAAGTCATAGTAGATGTCACTTATCTCCATTTTATGTGAACAGGTTCCTGGGGTCCCTCAAGGCCAATCAGAACCTTTAATCTCCCAGAATTCCCTCCTCCGCTGTCCTATCAGTACGTTCAGAAGTACTACGTTGATCTCATTGGCCAGTTGAGCAGAGCCATTTCCATGGCGACCCCAGATGACTGCGCCCTGCTGGCCCGTTACTATTACC